GATGGTGAAAGATGCTATATGCACGGAGTGTTGGTAAAAATGAAAAAAGAAGAAGGTCACCATGAAGGATTTCTCCTAAACCGCGTTGCTTGTGGGGGGATGTGCGGGGCTACGGGAAATTTCCCCCAGGGCGTACCCGCACTTGGGGGGCAATGTGGTTTGGCATGTGTTACCCCCCGCATTGCCGCTTAACCCCCCCGTATCGCCACGCCTCATAGACGCTTCACCCCGTCGTCCTTATGGGCGCTCCTCTCCGCTCCGCCTCACCGCCTCGCCGAAGAGGACGAAGGGGTGGAGAAACAACTCGGGGAAAGTCGCCCTGCGAGAGAAGTCCACCTGTAGCATGCGCGCGAGAAGGTCCATGAGGGAGCTCGACATGAAGGGGTACCTGCGGAACCGCCTACACACGTCAAACCCTTTGTGTTGCAACACATACCAAATGTGCATATCTTTGTTAATTCGACTGAAGGGGTGTTCACCCGTGGATAAAATAAAAAGAGTGATTCCCAGTGTCCATACAATCTTCGGCGAAGCATTGATTCTTCCCATTTGAAAATCCTCCAGTGGTTTAAATAGGGACGTTGTGCCACCTACATTGACTTTCCCTTGGAATGTTTTCTGTGCATGCTCAAAATCAATCAGTTTGACGAAAATTCGTCTTTTTAACGTTGTGCCCCTTTTTTCCAAGTACCATTTTTTATCCCTTCTGCAGAAATATATTTTGTTCATATTTTTTTTTTTTACATTTTTTACAACAATGTTTGATGGTTTTATGTCACTGTGGAAGATCTGTTGTTCGTCCAGATATTGGCACACCGTCAGGAGCTGCCGTAGGATTTCTGCGAGGAGGTACTCTGGGTAGACGTAAGTGCGCTTTATTCTCTTCGCTTTGATCATTCCGTGTAGTGCTTCATGGGGGTGCTGGCCGCACGGGGTGTCCAGGGGCATTCTGCCCGCTGATCGATGGAAGGTCCCACAACGACTCCTCCCCCTCTGCTCCTCCATGCCCTGAAGCTGAAAGAGATTCTCACGCTTATTCCACCTCATCAAGGATACCCCCCCGAAGGGATATACACTAACAATTTCATCATTAAGGCAAAAGCAACACTCCATCACTACGATGTTCTTGTGAGCCAAGTGACGAGTGAGGTGCCTTTCTAATTTCACCACGTCCTCGTAGAGAACGTATTTATCCATAAGGGGACTGAAGGTGCTTTCCTTTGGGGACAAGTAGATTTTTTTCACTTTTCTCGCCCAACTTGTTTTCCCATTTTTCCTCTTGTGTCTCTCCACGAAGGCGATATTTATTTTCTTGTGCTTCTTCAAGCACATGGTTACTTCCCACTTTGTTACTTTCCCAATGGGATTTTCCGTCGACATTTTTTCCCCTTCGATTTGGTGCAGCAGCAGGGACATTTCCCGCTCGACGGGGCAGCTCCTGGGGAGTGTGTCCCCTGAACTGACATGGGCAGATCGGCTCACTGTCTGCAAAATCACCTCGGAGGCCACTGTCTCGGAAATCACTTCGGAGCTGGCCTCAGCGCGCACCTGGGCCCGCCGCGCCTTTCTAATGACCTCTACAAAGTCGTAACTAGCGATGGTGAATATTTTCCCCTCCAGACAGGCATTCGCGGAGGCCGCCTTCTTTTGGCCCTTGCCCCTAAATTTTGTTTTTCCTTTTTCTGTCATCCCCTTTGCCGGGGCGCATGCTCGCCCGCTCATTTTGTCCCTTCCCATTTGAATCACTTCCCCATTTGATTTTGCAAAAAAAGGAAGACTGTTTCTTTTTCCTTTAATAGCGGGGTGTGTGCTCCCCTGATGGTGCGCATCACTGAGGGAGGCATTTTTTCCTCTTTCGCCATTTTTCGTTTCCCTTTTGAAAAATTCTAAGGGGGCGTCTGAGAGGTGTTGTCGGGAGGTGCCCCTCTTCAGGTAGACGCTCATCTGGGCGGGCCTCGATCGACACGCGTGACACGAGCAGAGGCAGCAGGGCGGCCACGTGGAAAGGCGTTGCTGTGTGGCGAGGCCGTCCCTTTGAATTGTCCCCAACTTTTAGCGTGCCTGATCATCCTCCACGGGTGCAGCCGAAGAGGGAGACCCACTACAAGTGCAGCGGCTCTTCTCGCAAAGAGGATTCCCTAAGAAGGGGTACGCAGAAACACCCCCTAAAAAGAGCCCCTAAAAAGAGTGCACAAAAAAGGCCCATAAAATATTCACACCCGTTTGGTTGACCTCACTTTTTTTTTTCCTCCTCCGCGAAACAAGCATCGTAGGATGCATGCAGAGGATCACCCAAGTTACCCCTTCAAATGATGGGGAATGTATGGTGGGGGGGAAAATGGGGAAAATTTAAGCACATACATAGGGGGGTAAGTACGCGCGTGCCTACACGACGACGTAAAAGGGGGCATATGGGGACCCACCTCTGTTCTGATCAGCTGCAACTGGGCCACGGGCCTTAGTGCACACACAGGAGGAAGTACGACGTGGGAAGTACGAAGTGGGAAGGCGAAGGGGGAAGGCGAAGTGGGAAGTACGACGTGGGAAGTACGAAGTGGGAAGGCGAAGGGGGAAGGCGAAGGGGGAAGGCGAAGTGGGAAGTACGAAGTGGGAAGGCGAAGTGGGAAGTACGAAGTGGGAAGTACGAAGTGGGAAGGCGAAGTGGGAAGGCGAAGTGGGAAGTACGAAGTGGGACGGCGAAGTTGGAAGCAGAACGGAGAAGCCAAAGTGAGGCGGAGTGAAGAAAGAAAAAAGGAAAGGAAAAAAAAAGAAACACATGCATACATACATACACGCGTACCTATGCATTTTTATGCCTCATGAGAACATCACTCTTTAGTCACTAGCCTCTTTACGCGTCGTGCGTAGAAGGGTTCATAGGATGTGAGCGTGACGAGAGTACGCAAAATTGTTCTCAATTATGTGCCGCCAACGTGGTGAATCGGCTGCGTGAAGTTCGAGGCAATGCGGGGGGTAACAGGAGGGTGGAGCCTTGGTGCGAGGGCCCCCTCTACAGTGAGGCCCCATCTGCACAGAATCGCGAGAGATCAACAACGAGGTAGAATCCGCCGTGAATGTCGCGGTGGAAACGACGGTAGAATCCGCGGTAGAAGCAGAATGGAAAAGCGACAGGGGTAGAACCCGAAGAGATAAATCGCGGAAGAGGTAGTGAATGAGAAACGAAGCAGGGGGAAATCAGGCCCAGTTCCGTTAAGGCACCTTAAGGGTACGCGTTTTTTTGATTTAAATTTTCCCCCCGGTGTTGGCAACCCCATGCGCCGACCCGTGCTCCTACATCAACATCAGCACTACAAGGACCATCAGCAGGACCACCACTACCTTGGCTTCTTTGCTTCCTCCGGCTCCCATCCCCCCCAGGATCATTTCGCTGTCCCCACGAGGAGGCATAGATGCAGCCTGAGAGGCAAAAAAAAAAGACACCTGCTATAGGCTATACATTACGTATCAGCAGGTGCCTCGTAAAAAAGAGAAAAAAAAAGTACAGGACCACCAATTTTGTATTAATTAAGAAACAGGGGCCTTTTTCAACTTGCGCCCCGTGGGTGGCATATACTAAAAAAAGAAAAAAAAAGTACACACAAAGGGGCATAAAAAAAAGGAATCCTTTTTTTTTTCTTATTTCAGATTAGTTTGAAATGAAATTAATTTAGATTTGAATTTAATTTAAATTAATTTAATTCATTTTTTAATTTAATTCATTTTTTAAGAAAAAAGAATGATACTCCAAACATGTAGAAGGCTCCGTTGTATTTTCCTACCCCTAAAAAGTAACAAACACCTAAGTGAACAATTTTTACGATTTTTCTCCAAAGGGATTGAAGAAATCGTTCCAAACGATTCAAACGCTTCATACCCTTCAAACGCTTCATACCATTCAAACGATTCATACCATTCAAACGATTCATACCATTCAAACGATTCACCATCGAAAGTGCTACGTGAAGAAATCCAGATTTTAAAAAAGTCGAGAGGGCACACCTTTGACGTTGACGTCAAGGAGCTCAACCGCCTCATTAGGAGAGAGAAACTCGCCAAAGTTGCGAGGGTCCCACGAAAAGGCAACGCCACCTACGCGGGAAGCGCAGTAAGTGCAGGAAGCACAGTAGGTACAGTAAGCGCAGTAGGTGCAGTAAGCGCAGTAGGTACAGTAAGCGCAGTAGGTACAGTAAGCGCAGTAGGTACAGTAAGCGCAGTAAGCGGTGAAAGAGACAAAGTCAGCGAAAGAGGCAAATTCAGCGAAAGAGGAACAGTCGGCCAGAGCGGAAAAACGAAGAGCGCCTGGAGTAGTATGGAAAACACGAAGAACGCAAGGAGGACCGAAAAAGGGGGACAAGCCAGCATCGTAGATTTCCCCCGGGAGGACTACCCTCACCAGCAGGAAACAAGCAAGGCAAAACTGTCAGAAGTAGGAGCAGCACACACCAGGGGTGAAGACATAAGCGTCTTCGATCACCAGTTAGGCAGCACCCATGGAGACGTCCGCAATGTGAACCTAAATATGGAGGAAATGCGCATCCTAGACGAGTACATAGAGAACTTAAATATTTGGACGGAGTATACAACGGAGGGACATTTGCAGAAGACTGGGAAGGAAGATGGAAGGAACCTTCTTGAAGAAGACGCTCCCATTGGAAGGAAGGTGAATAGCCGTAGTCCCGTTGGACTTACCCATTTTGCAGGCTCCTCGATTCACACCACTCCTTGTGCAGACGGCTATGATGAAAACCCCATCGATGAAAACACCTCCGTTGAGAACTTCTCCAAGGGGTACATCTCAGATGAAAGCACCCCCGGTAGAGCCCCCTCGGTGGATATGGAATGTCTCTCTAGCTACCTCATCTTTGGAGATAACTCTAGTCCACCCATGAAGCCATGGCGTCGTGGGTTCGATGCTCAGGAAGATGTTGAGAGTGTTGAGAGTGTTGTGAGTGATGAGGGGGAGAAGGAAGAGAAGGAAGACAGGGCGGAGAAGCAAGACAGGTGGGAGAAGCAAGACAAGGTGAAGAAGCAAGACAAGGTGAAGAAGCAAGACAAAGAGGAAAATACCTTCAAGGTGCTAAAATGCGGAATGGTCCTCAGGAGCCGCATTAACCGCAATATCGTGGAAAAAGGGATGAACATCCAGAACAAGGAGGGCAGAAGCAGCAACAACGACAACGACAGCGGCAGCAACAACAGCGACAACAACGACAAGCAAAAGAAGCGGAACAACCCCCTCCTCAAAACATGGGCAAGAAGGACCAAGGCGAAGTACAGCAACGAGAAGAACGAAAAGCCCCTCCTTACCTCGAAAGGAGAGCCGGAGCCGAAGAACAAAGCACCCGAGTATGTCGAGAAAGAGGACTCCAAACCTACCTCCCCGGAACACTCTTTGCTTGCTATGCACAGGCATTGGAATGATGTAATATACAAGGGTATGTGCAAGGCGTTAGGCGATGTCGAAGAGGAAATGCTAGACCCAGGAAACTTATGCAGACATCCCGGTTATGGACCGTACTGTGTGTTGAAGGATGAAATGTGCAGTGGCTATGCATCCCCTGGTCTGGAGAAGAAGGGGGAAACGTTCGACGAGCATTCCGTTCTGAAGATGATGCTCCTTCTGGAGGAGCGCTCTCGAGAGGGGGGCTGCGCTGACCTGGTAGAAGCGCATTCATGGGTGGAGGAAGTGAAAGGAGATGAAGCAGTGGAAGAGGAAGCAGTGGAAGAGGAAGCAGTAGAAGAGGAAGTAGTAAGAGAGGAACTGATCGAAGAAGTGATCGAAGAAGTGACCGAAAACCTGTACCCTGACGAACGGCACAACACGGGGATGTCGAAAAAGCCAATAAATGTATACACCCCCCCTGACGTGGAAGACATCATCAAAATGGATATCGCGCACTTTAGTGTATCTGAAGGCATCTTCATCTTAACTTTCTTCTTGGCATTGAATTCCCTGTCGCTAAGAATGCTGAACAAGTTCGCCCCCCTGTGTATGAATAACTTGAGTGAGCTCAATGAGAATCAGATTCTGTTGCTTCTCTACCTGTATGGAAGGGAAAAGAACAATTTCGACAATTTCCTAACCATGTTGAAGGTGTTTTATTTGAATAAGAGAGTATTTGTTCAGAGTGAATTGAATTCTCTGCAAAAGATAGACCATACATCGATGAGGAGTGAAGTTTCATGGATGAGACTGCACAAGAAAGAAATGCTTGAAATGTGTCGCTGTAGGTATTACAAAATGCTGACAAGAGATCGTCTAGATCTGCTTTTCCTAAAGGTGTGTCTAAAACATGGCATTAAACTAGATCAGGAGTTAAGACTGTTTTACCATGAAGGGGAAGAAGTTGCGTATCGAGGCACTTATTATTTGAAACTCTTCGAATGTTTTTGCAATCTTACTAGCAAGAATGACGAAAATTTGCTTATTATGGCCCTGAGGAAGCCACCCTTTTCCGTTAAGAAGGTTATCCTATACAAAGCTGAGTCTTATTTTAGGAAGGCATTAAGCATGAGGTACAAACCGACTTGTCTTAGTAGCTTCTTTGAATTGAAGACCGTTTTGAAATGCCTCAGCCAGATCGATAGTGTATTCTTTTTCAACTGTGTGAGAAAGTGCATGGAGAAGGAGTGTCCTGATAAGACAATTATAGGCACAGAGGTTAGAGAACATTTAGGCATCACCCCCTTCTTGCTTCCGCACAACTCCAACCCGTTGGTAGAATCGAGAGAGTTCCCGCAGAGCTCCTCAGTACACTTTAAGGAGCATGGCAAAAGGAAACGCATCAAGCGAGTAGGACTTACAGCAATTCTGGTCGATTCGGGGAAGAAGACACCTCCTTTGCAAGAACCACTTCTACATGACACTGTAGATATTTACCCCCTCGTAATATTTTATATTTTATTGAATCACATGATGAGATTTTTTCTGCTTCCCATTTTTCGAGCGTCGGATTTGTTCCCATCGTTAAAGGACGTTCTGATCCCCAAGAGGAGGCTCTTCTTCCGCGAGGACGACGTGCTGATGGATTGCGCGATTGTTATTCATCAGTGCTGCCAGCAGGGGGGGCAGGTCACAACATGCGACTCGACAGGAGTGCAAACAGGAGAGCACACAGACGACTCACCATTCATTCCAACGTTCACGATAACACAAGTGCCAACAGGGGTGCCGGTGGAGGAGTCGCCAGAATATTGCCGATACTCGCAGGACGAAATGAAACTGTCGTTTTCTCAATATTTATGCACCAACCCAGTCCTCAGGACAAAGCAGCGTATAGCCTTGTTCAAGGGAGACAGAAAAAGTGCCGATACAATTTGGCCTTGTGATAAAAGAATAACAGTAAAAAAAATCCCTGTCAGCCTTTTTATTCATTCCATTATTTTCATTAATCACTATGTGAAAGACCTAGTCATTCACTTCGGAGAGTACAACGTAGTGCATGAAGATATTCTCTTCACCCTGGGATATTCTTATTTGAAGTACCTCGTGCTGTTGAATTCGTTGAAGAAGAGGTGGAGTGCGTCTACTGATGGGAAAGGTGGCAAAAGATACATGCGCGTGAAAGAACACCTGTTTACGCAAGTGGAGAAAATTATCCCCCCTTGCTTCAGCAACCTGGGAGAAGTGAACCATGATGCAGGAAAACAGCACGGCCGTTGGGAGAGGCCAATATACAGCACGAATAAGGATCTGTCGCAGTATTCCAGGTACTTCGGTGCTCAATACAGGGCGGACAGAGAGGGCAAAGAGGACATAGCGGACAAACCGGACAAATCGCACAAACCGCACAAACAGAACAATGGAAGAAGATCCCCCTCGGGGAGAATTCGATCCAACTTCATCACCTGTAAAAGGACCACCTCCTTCATTTTCAACACCATCTTCTATATTATCATTCGATACATCGAGTACGATTCGCGTAAATGGATCAAGGAGAAAGAGGACTCTTGGTTTCTCTCTAAGACGAAGTTTCTAAAGATCATGATTTACACCCTCACGTGCTACATAAATAGCCTCTGTTTAGAAAAATGGGATTACTTCGATTTCATGTCAAAAAATTCCCTCCCTCATCTTCACATTTTACCCAACTGGAAAAAAATAAGCTTCGGTGTCCAAGTGAGAAACGTCAAACCCTGCCTTATGTACCTCTCAGAGATTATAGAGCATTTTTCTCATTATGTATTTTATTGCCTACCAGAGATGCGTGTTCTGAAGATGAATCAAGATGAGTTAGCAAGCCTGACAAGATTTCTCTCCATGTTTTTAATTCCCCTACATTTTGACGTTTACTTTGATGAGAATTTTAGCTTTTATGGAAATACATCGGAGGATGAGGAGGAACCAACCTCTCTGTACATGGGTGCTAGGCACCACATAGGTAGGAAGAATTACAATACCCGGATGAAGAACCACCATGGCGACGTTCTCCAAAAAGGGGAGCCGAAAAAAAAGAACAAGTTAATCCTGTTTTATGAAGCCATTTTCAGTTACTACCTTGATGAGACGCTCATCACAGATCCAATGACGCTGTCTATTGACTACTTACCGATTAGGCTTGACACCATGGCTCGTGTAATAGTTGTCGTTGCATTATATGACCTCCCATCCACCGAGGTCATTGCGGATCTAAATAAAATAGTGAGTCGCCTCCTCTCCGAGTTAGACCAAATCAGTGCCAAGCACCACCATATGATCCTCAGCTCTTGCCAAAACGTCATTGATCACCAGAATCTCCTGAACAAATACAAAATGGTTAACTTTACCAATTTCTCCATGCTGTACGACTACATTGTGAAGCTTTGTTAGGCTCGCCACCAAATGGGGCGGCAAATGGAGAGGCGAACTGGAAGGAAAAGGCTTCCCTCCGGCTGTTTTTTTTTTCCTTTTTTTTTTTTCCTTTTCCACCCCCTTGCAACACATTCCTGAGGAACACCTTCCTGCGCACCGCACAACTTCAACCCGAGTGACACTTCTACACCTGAGTCGACTCCCCCTCAGCACGCTTCCTGCCCCTCTTCGACGCTGAAGAGCCAGGCGGAGCGACGTGGGGGGGAGTTCCCAAAAATGCGAACGAACAACTTACACACGCTTTTAAACGAATATATACGCAAGCAACTCGCCTTGCCCAGCGATGGAGGCACTTCCATGGCGACACTTCAATGGAGACACTTCAATGGAGACACTTCAATGGAGACACTTCAATAGTGTCACTTTGATTGCCACACTGCCGCTTTACCACTCTACCGCACTAGCTCCAATTCGCACGCCTTTTTAATCAAAAGGGACCGCCCCAACCGTCGAGGGAAGGCGTTAAAAAGAAGAAAAAAGAAACATTACGTTAAATCGTACGGGTATGCGCATCTCCACCACCTCGAACAAATGGCAACCTTCTCCAGTTCGCCATTTGTCCGTCTGTCCACTTAGACACAAACCGAAGGATGAAGCTCCGCCGCTTAGCAGCTGCTCCCCCCTTAAGCACAACCATCTCACGTAAATCATATGTTTCGATTTTAGACCATACGGTGTGCTTACTCCCGCATTCCTTGGACTGTCATTCCCCACATGCATTAATCAAATCAATTATGGGAAGGTCGAAAAATGCCTCTTATGTCTGCCTCTTAATAACTACTACTAGCAGCGAGGTCTATGTGCCCTATGCGGTCTCATTTAGAAAAAAAAAAAGAATTACGTTTTGTTCATTTTCCTGCTACTCAAAAGGACCATTTCTACACCCATCGTTTTTCCCACCAATGCAAGGGAAATTTTGTGTGTCCCCTCCGTGGGTGAGCCATTTCTCTAAGAAGGTAGTGGTACAGGGATAGTTTTGCTTCTACTAGGATGTCTCTCCAAAAGGGTGAAGTACACGAGCGTGTTCACGGGGAGCGCACAAGAAGCGGTCAAGCAGTGGCGGCTAAGCAGAATCGGCTAACTAGAATCGTCTAAGCAGAAGCGATAAAACAACACGTGATGGGGGTCCACCCTGCGATGGCGGTAACCTAGTGGGAGGGGAGAAGATGCCTCCGAGGTAGCCCCTAGGTAGCAGACTTAAATAGATTAGCACTTTTAAAATAACTGCGTGAGTGTGTCAGCCTTTTGCCCCCCTCCAAAAAGAGGCAAATTCCTGTGGCTGCTTCCCATTCCCAGTTGGATGTAGCCAGGGCTGCTTCCTCCGTGTGAACATTCCCCTAGAGCGTTGCGCCCTTATATCGCTATGCAGCTACTACTGTGGGCAAATTGCCCTCTGCAACTACTCTTTGCGCTGACAACCGGGAGAGCCCTTCCGCATCCCGTTTGCCCAGCGCACGGATGTACTCTCTTCCCCAAACATGTACGTAAGGAGTCTGGTACTTCCCCTACCTGGGATAATTTTTTTTTTTTTTCGCATGTAATATAGCAAATGGCTTCAAGCGATAACGCGAAAAAAGCTGTGCACATAAAACTCTCTCATTTACAAATACTATGTTTATGTTCAATATAATGATAACAACATTTTGGCATTTTCTCTGTTACCCCATTTTTTTTCCAATTTTTTTTTTTTTTTGTATTCATTTTTGTTCTTTTTTCGTTTAAGCTGGCTCCTCCAACTGTGAACAGCACGTGTTCACATGTATGCGTTAATTCTGCGTTTCTGAGGGGCCTGGTACTACCTCCAGTCTATCAAGCCACCGCGCTGACCACCCACTGAACCCTTTACTTATATAAAGGCCTGTGTAGGTGCACTGCGTTATGCTTCCTATCCGTGTGTGTCATTTGAAGCCGCTCACGTAGGAGAAGGTAGAGAAGCCTGTGTGCTTAGAGTGTTACCCAACCAACGTAGTTTTCACGCCGTCTCTCCCCTTTACCATGACGCATATTACTCACATGCCCGTTGCGCCTCCTCTTTCTCCATTTTTACCCGTACAGGTAAGAGTATCCCCCGACCCTCCTCTGCTTCCCACCGACACACCATAACTGCTTTTTCCCCTCATTATGTTGGTTCCTCCGCAATTTTACAACGGGGAAATAGTAATAGACTTAGATGACACCATATTTGATATAGAAGCTGAGAGAATACTTCATCTATATAGACAAAGTCTGTACGACTTCTTGTTTGAAAATGGTAATGCTAAAAGTAGAAACAACACCGGCTTAGGCAATGCCATAAGCTTGGACAGACGAATTAGGGATTTGAAAAAGGACAGGCTGAAAAAGATGGGGTACACTATACTGTCGGTTTCCATTTTGGTGAGTTGTTTTCTCCTATACTCTGCCTTTAAAGAAATTGTGCAGTACATCCGGCTGGTCGGCAAAGGTCTCATTGCCCAGAAGTAGCGCCCCTTTGCAAGATATATCCCTCTCCCGACTGGAGGGCGACAGGAAAGGAAGAGGCCATCAGAAAAATGGATCATCATCCACATGTTCCCTGCGTACACTTGCATATTTTTTTATGTGGCCGCCCCAAAGGAATCCAAAAATTTGAAGAGACTCTTCCATCCTTTTTCCTGTCGTTTTTGTCCCCTATATTTTAGCCCCCTGGCTTGGGTCTGAACCCTGGTTCTTTGTTTATTTTGTCATCATGCGTGTGATGAGAACCCCCCTGGCTTGGCCCCTTCGACTTTGCCACACCGTTTTGCCGCTCCACAACTTCGGTGCATCGTCGTCTAACAACGCCGTTTCGCGCATTGTTTATAAAGTTTTTTTTTTCTTCTTCTTCTTTTTTTTTTAATTGCCCCCTTTGGACTTGTTTGTTTCTTTGTCGTCCTTTTCCGTTTCGTGCTACCACTTTTGCGCTTTTTCTGATTCATGATCAAAAAGGAAAGGAAAAAAAAAGGAAAATAAAAGGAAAAAAAAGAAGAGAAAAGAAAAGGAAAAAATAAGGCCCTCCATTTTGTACACCACTCTGCAGCCAAAACGATTTGCATGTTTGACGTCGCACCAATTCATGCATTTTCTAAGCGACATTTGTGCACGTTGTTTTGTATTCATTTTGCTTCATAATACTTATGAACAACGACGCTAACTAGTAATCCCGAATCTGAGCAAAAAGTCCTATCGACCACATGGGCGAAATGACGAATATATTTTCCTAATCTGGTCTCATCCCGTTGTATCCGACATATTACGTTCACTTTTGCAAAAAAGAGGAGGAAATATTAAATTTAAAGTTTCTTTTTTTTTCCTTCTTTCCAAAATTAACCATTTGTTCCATTTTTGCCTGAACAGGTCATATTTTTTTTTTTTTCTCCATACAATTTTAAAGCTAGCCAACGCATGTTTACTCCGTCGAGACGATTGAACAATTGTGGAAATCTCCCGTGTGCTCCTTGAGCGCAGCTAATTGAAGTTATTTCGAAAGCGATTTTAATCGGAGCGTGGCACACCCTACTCGCCCCTAATCAGCGACATGAAGGGTAAAAAGTCCAAAGGGGACAATAATGCTGTGTCTTCGAAGAAGGGTCGAAAGGGTACCCCAGCGGGGGGCATAACGCAGGTTGGTTGATCATTAAATGAGGGTAAAAGTGTGTCCCATGTAATGGGTACAGTTTCTCCCCCCATGGGGAAGACAACACGTTTGAGATCTTAGCTGCAGAAAGCACACACTGCTCACCCCGAGCGGTAACCCACCCGTTGTCATTACACCATTCCATGCTCTACATGGCGTATTCATTCACTTTTTTTTTCCGCCCCGCCGCACTTGAAGGATGCTCAAAGCGACAGCGCAGACGATTTGATCATCGGAAACATGGCCAACTTAAATGAGAAGGACGGTGCGAAGAAGTCCCTCCCAAAGGTCGTTCAGATGAGGAGAGATATCAGGTGAGTCGTCCCCTCACGCCGCCTTGGCAGCGTTAGCGGTATTGACGGGGTTTGGCGGCAGGTGTGGCTTCACTGTTTGCTTCATTGGTCGCGTCGCACATCGATGAACACACCACTTCGCATGCCGCATCTCATGCCACATCGCCACCGCGCAATGTGCTCATCCCGCAGGAAGGTCAAAAAGGAAAAGGCTATCATAAGCAAAATGGATGCCGAGGACAAGGAAAAGGCGGAACATATGTTGCATGTGGACAAGGCCCTGCGCAAGTCCAAGGGGGAAAAAGTTTACGTAAGGAGGGGAGAGCGGCGAACGGAGTGCGCGACAAGTGAGGCATCCAACGGAGAGCCCTCAAAAATGCATGATGCATTGATAGGACTTCTATTTTGTTGCCACTTATGCCCTGTTTCTGCTGTTTTGTTTTTTTTTCTTGGGGTTATGTCCCTCCCGTGTGTGCTTTGCTTGAATATGATGAACCTATCACCACCCCAAACATTGCCCCGCTGTAGGATGAAAAGAGCCTCAAGAAGCGAAGCCAAAAGATTTTGAGGAAAAAAAATAAGTCGCGCAAACGCTGGGCGGAGAAGCTGGCCAAGGGGTGAAGAGAGCCCCCTGTTGGCACAACTTCCGCGCAGGCCCCCTTCAAAAGTGCAAAAAAAAATTTTATAGGCCAAAAGAGTGCAAGAAGTTATTGACATGGACTATATACCCCACATCGTTCGTTATCGGTTTGTACAGATGAGGAGGTAGGAATATCTTCTTCCTGGAGACAATGCCCAAAATGACAATGGTCCACCAAAAAATATGAACAATAAACAAAACAAATCGTACAACGAAAGAATTGCACTCAGGCAAAATCATAATATCGATGGTTATTACGTAGAGTTGAAATAAATTGAAAATGTGAATTACGCGGACAATGGTCGGGACGGTTTTGCAGAGGATTCCCAGTAAGTTCAAAAATAAAGGGGAGTTATGTCGCGTGTGTATTTGGTTACCTTCCCCGTCTAGGGCTATGGCGTAGCATATGCATGTGGCCACAGAAATGATGCCAATAAGTAACCACAAGGAGGAAAAGACGTACACGTTGGACGAAGCTGCACATACAATCTGACCAAATATTCTCAAAGACGAAGTTGTGTAGCCAAATATAAATGTTATCGATCCAGCTATGTAGCAAAAGGACGTCCAGAAGTAGTAGGAAATTACGCTCAATTTGAGCACTTCGCTTGAGAAATTGTAGAAGCATCCTGCAGGGTTTGTATTATACTTTGCTTTCTCTTCAAGGGGGTCCTCTTCACTGCTGTTGCTACCATCCAGGGACTCTTCTTTCTCCATTTAGACCAACAGAGAGGGGGGGCCGAGGGGTAAAATTGTGTCCTTTAGTTTTCGTTCCTTTTTATGTTTTGGGGAGGTTAAAAATGCCGCGTGGTTAAATGCCCCTTGGGGGAATACACATATTCCAGCTGTGCGGGTGTGCGTATGTGTGTGTGTTGGGAGGGTCAGCGCGGAGAGTGCAAAATTTGCCAAGGCTAGAATCCTTGTGTTCGCAGAGGATCACACCAAAATGACGAAAAAGGTGGCAAAAAAGGTGGAAAAAAAGTTGGCAATCAAATTGGCAAAAAAGTTAGCAATAAAAATGGTAAAAAAGTTAGCAGCAGAATGGTGCCCATTCTGGCGAAAGCGTTGCTTCCCCTTTGGGTACGCGGGCCCGTCCATCGTTTCCTTCTCCTCGTATCGCGCTCGCTTACTCGCCGCAAATTCCCCCTTTTAATTAACCAAAACGGTGGTCGAGGAGTCCTAAAAAGAGGTCATAGTGTGGAACGTTCGCCAAAATGGGAAAAAAAAAAAAAAGAAGCAGCAAATAAAGGCGAACAGAAGAACAAGAGCCCTTGCAAAGGAACACCATAACATAGTAACCGTGTTGTAATTGCGCTACCCCTCATTTCATGGGCCAGATTAATCCAGAAATGACCATCGCGGTAGGTATGGGGCGTGGGCTCTTCTCTCCCACCATTGCGTCTCATCACCGCGATCGGTAGTCTCTTTTTTTTTAAAAGACGAATGGTTGCCATTATGGAGTGCCTCCTTCGGGGTCACATCCTTGTGGGTATCCCCTGTGGGCTCCTCGAATGTACTACTGTTATGAGGCAAATCCCCTTTTAAGCTATTTCCCCGTGCTTTCCATTTGACAAATAGGTGTGCATATCTTCACGTGTGTTGCGCGAGTTGAGCCGTTCATGCTATTCTTCTTCCTCTTCTTACTCCTCTTCCTATACTCCACTTCTTCTTTTTCTTTTTTTTTTTTCGTTTCACCCGTTCGTCTCCATTTGTTTCTGTGCAAATCGCCTTGACCTTTATATGTTACTTTTTCGTAGCGACTTCCGTAAGGCTTTCCTCTCCTTTCGCGAAAGATGTTTCGCATAGGGCTTTCCCTTTATCTCTTCGACTTTAAACTTCGTATTGATGTAGTCTGTGATCAGAGGGGTGTGTGTGTGAAATCGGCTAAAGAGGTGGGATTGTTGCAACAGCGGAGGCGCCTACACACGCAGAGCAACGTTACGTCGGTGGAGCACTTTCACACTGTCCTTGTTTTATTCTGCTTTGTTATTACTCGGGTGGCTAAACAAGTAGGGGGGGGTTACGTCCAAGTGGTAGGAGTGCACTACGGACACTAGGCTTTGCACTTTCTCGGAAAGGCCGGGGATTGACTGATCTTCCGTCTGCAGCGGTAGGATTCCGATGAGGCCCGTTTTCGGTAATTTGATAAAATCAGGTGTGTTCACATAGCTGCGGGGGGAGCGGTGTGAGTGGTGTGAGAGAGGGAAGGGGATGATGGGAATGATCCGAATGGTTGTCTTCCGCATGAGCTGCCGCCCAGGGAGATGTCCATCCAGGCCGTCAATACTTTGCCCCACGGAGGAGTTTTCTTTCTTTTCTGCACTTACTGCTGCTCAATCAAGACGAAGTCAATTTTGTGCAAAGCGGCTATGAGGGGAACATGCTTATAAAATTGTTCATACCTGTCGGGGAGGAAAAAAAAAAAGAAAAAAAAGGAGAAAGCGAAAAAAGCGAAATGATAAACAGGAAGTAAAATGTGTTTCACGCTGCTCCATGGTTACATATCGGTGGAGCTTCACATGTAGAAGTTGCAGTTACATCGTCGGAAAATTGGCCCATTTCGCGACATAGCTAATGTTTGCAAAAAGAAGAAAAAAAAGTGCTTGGCATTACTGCGCAGTCCGGATAACTATTACAGCCTGTAGTGCGTCACGTTCCAGGTGGTCTACAATTTTGTCGTGGCTGAATGTGAATGACTTGAGCGACTCGTCTGTGTTAATAACCCTGAGAGGAGGTTGCAGGGAGCAGGACAGGGAGAAAAAGAAAAGAAAA